GTCATCAGTTCAACTGAATTTGATAAATATTTAGTTATTGTTATTTAGTTGTTGCAGTAGTTCTGTTCTGGAATCATCAAGTCTGGATGAGGGTTGTCTCTGATCTAAGCCCGATGATTCCAGAATATACCTTCCCCTACTCCTCATATCGTATTGAATGTATCGTTAAATGCCAAGTTGGGAGTTGACATTAAGACAGGCTTAACGCCTCGGCTGACTGGAGAGCCTGAAGTGCAAACTCGGGATTGTCTGGCTCTTGTTAGCTTCTGGCACGTCTTGCTGGAGCGACTGAGCTCCGTGAAATACATATAGCTATTGATAGTGTTGTGATAGGCACACCCACACGCACACGCACACGCACAGTTATATCTTTGTAATTATATGCGCGCACACACACGCGCACACATTCACACACACACACACACAGTCACACGAATATAATTACAATGCTATCGTAGAGTCTTTTGTTGAAGCAATGTGGGCGACATAGACCAAGGCAAGCAAACCGAGACTCACACAATTAGAGAGAGAGAGAGAGGGAGAGAGAGAGAGAGAGAGGGAGACAGAGAGACACACAGGGCATTTCGATTAAATTTCTGGCACGACCGCGACTTATCGGTCCTGGGCGGACGAGTGGGCGCTGGGACAGCGTCTGCTATCTGTTGGGTGCGACATTAGTGGCTGCTGGGATGCTGGGATGCTGGGCTGCTGGGCTGCTGGGCTGCTCATTTAAAGCGCCATCCAGAGGACATTACATTTTATTTGAGCAGCGCGCACGCTCTCGAATTAACTTGCGGCCTCATTTATTGCATTCCGAAAATGATTTCGTATAATTTTGCCGTTAATGCGTAAAATTTTAATGCGGCGCGAACTCAACTTTGGCCGATTCACAATGGGCGCAAGGGCCGTTTTATTTGGCATAAACTCGAGATCTAGAGATTTGAAATGTTGTACGAATGCTCTAAAAGAAAAGGAAGTACTATTAATAGAAATGCTAAATACCTAAACACTGGAATGTGAAGGGGGGCGTGGCAGATGGTAAAATGGTTATGACTGAGTTTGGGCCGTGAATGAGTATTCTGCAGTCAATAATGCCCGACTGCAATGTTATTACTCGTTTATGTTTTTAATTAAACTTTACTTGATTTTTTTATTTATTTTTTTTTTTATATGTATCAAGTAAACAATTTGTATTAAAATTATGATTATATTAAACAATTATTATATTATTAATGTTAAAAGTAAGTAATTTTACTGAATAGGAATTTTATGCGAAACAGTAATAATATACATCTTTTTGAATTTCTCGTGCTATTTCGGATATAAAAAAAAAAAAAAATTAGAAAAGTAATAGGCTTTATCTGTATCTATTTTTCTGGCAAGTCTTTACATTAGCTATAATAAAAATAAATATTTTAGCCTATATAATAAGTAATGCAAAGACTTATCGTAATCATTAATGAAATTATGCCAGAAAAATTCTTAATTTTCGCCACTGTGCGCTGGTTGGGGGCTAGCGGCAGACGGCAGACGGAAGGTGGTGTATTTAGGCCAATTTCGAGTTATAGTAACAATTTCTGTATTAGCTGTATAATTAGCTAACCAAATCAAGTTGTTTTTAATGGCCAACAGCAGCTGCTAGAGAGAGAGAGAGAGAAAAAAAAAGACAGAGAGAGAAAGAGGGTGCTCTCAGCCTAAACTGTGCTTGGACTGAAATATTAGATCAATTGGTATGGAAATGGATACTACATCAAGTGGTTAACAGGGCGAGGGAGTGAGGGGGGGGGGGAGGGCAGACAGACAGAGACTCACAATATGGCATAGGTAATCAAATTTATTGCGATTATTACATATTCTGCATGATAATGCAGTGCCACTTGGCACTTGCCACATGCCACATGCCACATGCCGCTGGCATTTGCCACGAGGGCCACTGCCACTGTCAGTGTCAAGTGGTGTGTGTTTGTGTGTGTGTGTGTGTGGCATGCATAATTTATGGCAAACAGCCTTTAGCTGCGGGGCCACTGCCTGCAGTCCTGCAACCAGGCCACGCCTCCCCCGCCTCTGCTGGTGGCAAACAAATGCACAGCAGATGCGTCAATTTTGTGACAAGCAACCTCAAGCCGAGGCCGAGACCCAGAGCCAGAGCAAGCCCTTGAGCCGGGCGCACTGTTGTGCCGGGGCGTGGCACTTAATTGAGCAATTAATTGCAATTAGCCATTAAATGTTGTTGTTGCTGCCAGCAGCAGCAGCAGCAGCAGCGCCTGGATTTGCAGGGAACTCAACTCAGCTCAACTCCTGCTGCTGCCTGCTGCTCCTGCTGCCTGCTGCTCTGCCGCATGCAACCGTTAATGGGCGACACTTTAGTGCCTACAAAGCTTCGATTATGGCCGAGAGCAAATGGCAACAAGGCCGCACGTAGTCCGCTAATGGCATTCATTAATATGGCCACGACAAAGAGATGCTGCTCCTGCTGCTCCTGCTGCTGCTGTTAGCCAAATGGCAATCCACACTTGCCACGGATAATCAGACATGTGGCCAACTGAGGCGAGACTCTAAACACTTCAAAGCGTCGCCTACGTGATCTGATTTGCTCGCTTTATGGCCACCAAATGCGAAATTAAACGAATTCATAGTGCAAGCATGTCTGTGTATGTGTGTGTGCCAAGGTCAGAGAGAGCAAAGAATTACGTATACGTATAAGTGAATATTATAGTATTTTTCATAGTCTAGGCAAACAACATAAATATTGAGCTCCTCTATGGCGCTCCGGTCTATCGAAAAATACCCTGTGATTTTTCACTGGCAGGTTTTGGATACCAAATCGATACCAGATCGAAGCTGACTATAATTAGGATCTGCTTAATAGTTTCTACTCTATGCAGATGCGAATCACAGTCTCTAATAGCTTAAAGCTCAATATATATATAGCATGGAAATTGCGACAGATGTTTAAGAAATGTGGCGTCCATCTCAATAGATAAAAGTTATTTTTAGGGAAAAGGGAAATGTTTACTTGCCAAGAGAACATTCCCAGTTGATAGGAAATCGAAGTAGAAGATCTGTTCATCGCAGCTAAACTCAAACACAAACATTATCGCTGCCGAAGCTCTCTCGCATTCAGTTCATGCTGTGGCTGAATCCGTTCTGGGAATGCTAATTGAAATGCCGAATCGATTACGAAGCTAATACAGTTTGCCAACTACTGCAGCAGAAATTATAAATGCGTTGCCCCTGGGCGTCAGTCTATATGGCAGCAGCCATTAAAAGTCTATCAATATTTGCAGAGCAAATAAATTTATGTAGATTCACACACACGCACGCAGACACTCGAGCACACACACACACATGCGCGTACTTGAAAACTTTTGGCCTATGATTGCTGTTGGCTGACAGCAGGAGTTGAGGTGAGTTGAGAAGAGATGAGATGAAGTGTGGTGAGATGGAGAGGGGTGTGGTGAGCTGAGCTAAGCTGGGCTGAGTGGCAAATAGTTATGAAGTCTGTATGTACGTGTGTGTGTGTGTGTGTCGTTTGTTGGTATTGGTAAGTGCGAACAGTTGTGAAGGCAGTTCGATGCCGTTCAGCCGCCCCAACCGATCCCCCTTCCCCGCTCCCGCCACGGCAGCAGCTTCACGTGCTCCAGCATGATGCAAAGTTTTTGGCACATCAATAAACTAAACTTGAATGGAGTTTGGGGCGCGCCGACAGCTGGAAATGTGCCTTAAGCATGCCATGAATTATTTAGTTTCTGTTTACCTTCCACTCCATGGCCGTCGGCCGTCGGCCGTCGTCCGCTTTCATTTTATTTCGTTTTGTTGCCGGCCAGCTGCAACTTCTTGGCCAATTGCGAGCACGTGCCGCACTGGCCACTGATTGTCCTTTAATATGCACCGCAAGGCGCCGCAGCTAGCGCCGTTTGCACTCTGCTTCCTTAAGTAATTGTCCTAATTGAGCCCACTGACTGCCTCCTGGCTGCCAGCTAGGCCGCCTCTGGATGCACCAAATTACCAGTCAAAGCTATCAAATTAACTAGCCAATTTCCACAAAGTTTGCGCCAAGCCGTCCGCCAATCACTATCGAAATCACATTAAGCAATTCGAGTTGCAGTCGAAATTTCATTGGGAAATTTCGAAGGAAGAAAACAGCTGTTAAAGCTGCTTCAGCATGCACTCGAGAGCAAGAGAATCGCAATGGTATTAGAGCTTATATATGCATGAGAATCGAGTGGAAGAACGCAAACAACTTTAAGCAACTATTCATACTCGTAGATCTCAAGGGAGTGCAAGACCATCACATAGATAGGTGGACTTGCTAACTTTGTATTAATGTTAATATACCTCTACCTCTCTCAATTGTGTACATAAGAATCACATAGAAAGGCACTATATCAATATATGTGAAAAAGCCTTATTATTATTAATATGTGTTAATTGAAAAGCGTAATATGTATATATGTATTTTCGAGACTTCACATGCATGAGAATCGCAGAGAAAGATTCT